AGGAAATCTGGAATCAGACCCAAGAGGTGACCTTGAATGTGGAGATTTCTTTTGTCCCCAAGACCACTCCAACCTTGCCTCTTGGCAGAAGCCCCCGGAGCCCACCTCCCCCGCATCTCTGACCTCCCATGGGTCTGCAGGCGCGGTCTGTGCACGGTGGCTCTGCACTTGTTCTTTGTTGCTGTGAAACAGCTCCGCAGGCACAGTCAGCCTCTGTGTGGGAGGACCAGTGGCTGTCTTTGCAAGCAGGCATTTGCTTCGAGAAGACTGCGCGTGAGCCCAGCGTCAAGTGATTCCGGCCTCGTCGAGTCCGTGGTGGTGGTGGTGGGCCGAGACTCTGCTGAGGGGACTGGCTGTGAAGGATGAGTTCAGGGGGGGATGACGGACCGCTTCTGGGACCAGTGGTATCTCTGGTATCTTCGCTTGCTCCGGCTGCTGGACCGAGGTATCCCGAGTGTGCCTGTACCGTGCGCGTGTGCATGTGTGTGTCAGAGAGAGCCAAAGAGCCGCATAGACACTCAGACATGGAGTGGCACACAGGTGCAGAGAGAGAAGGCACAGCGGCGCGGGGAGCAGGGAGAAGGAGAGGGAATGCACCAGAGGCAATTAGCGAGCAGATGAAAAGCCGAGCGAGACCATGCTTCTGGGGACATTTGTGACCCAGCTGGAAATTGGGAGCGCAGGGACATTTGGGGAGCATCTGTCTAACGAACAGGATTACATCTCTTGCTGGATTTTCCATCAAGCTCAGGACTGTAGCGAAAGCCTGTCTGTCTTCCGATCCGACACTCCGAGAAGCCACACAGGCAGGAGAGCAATTTCTGCACGCAGAGGCTCAAATCTCAGGTCTGCCACTAACGATCTCTGTGACTTAGGCTCATCATGTGAGCTTTCTGAGCACATCTGTAGAATGGGCACAGGAAGGCCTCCCTGCTAGGGTGGTGGTGGAATTATTCCTTAATGCCTGTGTGGCCCATCAGAGGTGCTTCCTGTGGTGCCATCCAGTAGGTGCTTGCTAACTGTTCATTTCTCCCTACCCTGCTCTCAGCGTCAGGGAGCGCCTGTGTCCCAGGGACAGCTGCCTTGGTGGATCCCCTGTACGATAGAGCCAATAGAACATTTGTCTGGTGCAAGCATTTGTGAACCAGAACGCAACAGTCAGTTGTACTCCTGAGTCAGGTGACGCGGACCCGCTCCCACAACCCTATCATGGAGTATTCGGGCAGTGAGCACCTCCTGGTAATGTGACACAAGTCTAGATGTCCCATTTTAAGGGAAAACCACTGTTAACTTTATTAAGTAATTGATTGCTGTTGGAAATGCTGCCTGTTCTTTTTAAAAGCTCTGACTTCTTTAAGACGTCTGGTCAGCATGAGAGGAGACTCTTGAAGGAAAAGATGGTCCCCGGGAAGCTCTGATCCACCCTGAGGTGTGTTCCTCTCCCTTGGGGGCAGGCCGAGGGGTGCCAGATAGAAGCAGAGAACCGCCAAGAGCCCATGGACCAGGCCCCTAATCAAGGAGAAATCAAAGATGGAGGAAAGCAAATCAGCACATCTGCAAAGCTGTCTCGCTCTAGTGCCGAGAGCAGGCCCGGGCAGCTCAGAGTGGAGATGAGATGAGACTGAGAGGGGAGCCAGAACATCACACTGGTGGAGATGGGAGGCTGGGGCTTTGGGGATGGGGAGTCCTGGCCGATGGCAATCTCTCTCACAGTAATCTCCCTTATCTGTGCAACCTCAGGCAAGTTTCCCAACCTCTCAGGACTCCTTGCCTTCATTTACCAAAATAGTAACACCAACTCAGAGGGTTGCTGTAAGGGTTAACTGAAAATTTGTTATCCCAGTGCTTGGTGTGAAGGAAGTGCCTCTTGGATCCTACCAACAGCTTGGGAAAACTGGGAACAGGTGGTATGTAATGACCAGGAGCTGGGGAAAGTCTAATAAAGAATTGTTAGAAGCTTAGGAAGCATTTCTGCTTATGTGAATTAAAACAAGATTCAAATTAATGTAATACAGATGATGATGCCACTTATAAGAGGAAACTAGATGCTTTAAAAAGAAGAAGAAAGAGGAAACTAGATGTTAATATATAAGCTACAATAATATTCATCTTTATTCTTTAGGAAAATACTTGCATGCAAAATTCTTGAATTGCACACTCTTAAGTGCTCTTGAAAAAAAAGATTTAACTTAAATTGACTCTCAGTTTGTTAATCTGAAGACTGAGAATATGAATAGTCATAATACCTACATCATAGAATCTGGGGAGAATGTAATTTTAGTTGCTGTAGCAGTGTTAGGCAGTTTTGGAAATGCCAGGTTACTGAATGTATGGCTTGATGGTAGAGCCTGTTCTACATAGTATGTTGGCTGCCAGAATTGTCTTCCATGTGCACTTTCTCACTATACAGGGCTGACTGTCATTCGAAAGTTTACAGTCTTTCATGAGGTGTCTCTAGAGCTTTTCTTATTGTGAAAGCTTTAGATAAGAAGCTTCTGAAGGTGTAGGACCTCTCATTTCCAGAGTTTGGGGTGTTGAATATGCTGCCAAGGTCTGGTTAATGGGAGAATTACAGCATTCGATACCTGCATCTATGTCCAAGCCGACTTTTTGGATATAATATCTTTCCTCTAGTTAATACTGCGTAGAAACTGATGTGCTTTAAAGTGGCATGCCAGACGGAGCTAGCTCAATGGAGAGCCTCAGTTCATTTGTTTGTTGACTGACTGACTGAATGAATGAACAACTGTGCCTTTCAGGCAGCAAAGACAATTCTCTTAGATCTCTCTTTATTGTAAGAGAATTTAGCCCCCTTCATCTGTCTGAAGATTTTATATCCTTTTTTATACCCTCCTTATTGTCATGCCTCATGTCATTTTGAAACTAACAGGCCTCAACAAAGTGAGAAAGGAATGAAAAATGAGAAGTGGGAAATGATGAGTTGAGTCCAGCAAAATCGAGATTTTTTGACAAGCTGTGTGCTGGCCTGAGTCACTCACTTGGCTTGGACTGGGGAATACACGAGTCTGTGATTCGACACACCTGAAGCACAAGGAAGCCTGGAAAGACACCATAGGACAGGGTGCACTGAGCTGCCCAGGCAATCAGAGAACATGCCTTGTGTTTACATCTCAGTCGTTTGTCTCCCTCGTGGTTGTGAATGAAAGGGTGAAGTTTCCTTTGCTTTTGTGCTGAACTATGTGTAAGGATTTGCATGACCACGAACTGCTGGCTTTTGACACGTTCTTCTGACCATTCAGTCTCGTGTAGTAACAGATACTGCTTTCATGTTGCTGGTTACCTGCACCGTCGACTCTGCTTGTGTTCTGTGCTCACAGGTGGTGGCTAAAGAGATGGCCCCTCTGATGGGGACTCTTCCTCCACAGAAAAGAGCCCAGACAGATAAGAACCATCAGTTGTACATAAAGGGAAGTCAGGCTGCCTTTTGTGGTTGAATTTTGGGGTAGCCACAGGATCCTGACAGGTGAGGGGGTTGGTGGCGTGCATTCTTTTGCTTTCACGCAATCTGTTAATGTTTGCTTTGGTAAGGAAAGACTCAAGCTCTTTTTCATTCACAGAGTATCAGTCAGTGTTTCCCAAAGTGTGGGCACACGCGCCATGGGTAGCATATGAGAGGATTTTAAGTGAATTATGGTTGACATTTCAGCTGCTCTCTGTAATCACTTCCCGGTACTGTCTGGAAGACAGTCTATTCCTCTCAATGCTTGTTTCTGCTGGGTGGTCCACCCCTTGCCTCTGCCCCTCAGCCCCACTCATCCCTCAATTTGTCCTTTGTAGACCCCTCTCCTGTCTCCTCCCACTCCCTCCACCAGCCCTGCCTGGGCCCTTTTCCTCTCAGGAACCACAGTCTTCTCTTCTTTTACTCCTGCCATTTTTATTACCTTGCCATTATCTTTAGTCCACTAGTTTCTTGTAAAAATGCTTACTTTAGAAATGTAGTTGACTTAATGAGGGTGGA